TAAATTCAATCACAAATTTTCATCAAAATTCAACTTCTCGCTCAATTTTTCACGTAGAATCTAATTTTAATATTAATTTTTTTAAAAAAAAAAAAAACAAATGCAAGTGAAAAATACTAACGGTTAGATTTTGATTTCAGTAGTAGTTTCGCATTTTTTCTAAAATGATATAACTAATAGGAAAAGAGGCAATATTTGTCGTAGCAAATTCTATCCGCCAATGTTTTTTTTTTTGTAAAAAATGATATCGAAGCGCATGAGCAGCAAACTTGTAGGGGAGGGATCAGAATTTCAAATGTAAAAGTAGTTTGGACATAAAAATAATTTCAATTGACAGATGGGGAGCAAGAAGCCTCGAGCATGAACCCTGCAATCCTCAGAATCACTCAAGTATGTCTAGATTTTAAGATGAAATATTTCAACGATTAGATTATCGTTCTATATTTCTACTTGCTTCGGTCCCCGATTCACCGATAAATAAAAATTAGTTCAATGTCAATTGTCAACCTATTACACTTTCCACTCAATAAGATAAATTGCGATGTCTTCAAGTCAAACACAAGAACGGCCGTTGGTTATAAAATAAAAAGGAAGGGGGAAAGAAAGAAGAGCAAATTAATGTTGAGTTGGATGAATATGATGGTACTCGGAAGAATTTATGAGTAAGCAAAGGATTTAACGGGGGATTGCCATTTAACCTGTCGCCATTCTAGTGCGATAATGAAGGAAGAAGTGGTGGCAGTAGCTCAATTCATGTGTTCGCCACTTCCGAGTAGTTATGGCGAACAGCTTTTGACATTTTCAGTAAACATAATCATCTATCAAAAAGTTGAAAACCCCCCGTCTTTTCTCTTCACCTTCTCTCTTCCGAGCAAACAAAGAACAATAAAACAGAAAATCCACCCTCAAATCAATAAAGAAACACCGAATCATCACCGAGGATAGGGTTGAATTGATTAGTAAGATGGGATGGATTACAAGTATAAAATTTTGAATTTATGACCTTTTACTTAAAAAAAAAAGAGCCCAAACTAACTGAGTAGGTCGAAACTGATTTCTTCCACATCAGTAGTTATTAATTATTACGCCACATATAATTGACAATTTTATCAAGAGCAATTACTATCTTTACTTAAAAATACATAGTAATAGTAGTAAATACATAAGGAGCAAAGCCAAATCGAGTATCAAATTCAAGTTCTCAATAACTAACTTAGTTGGGTCCGTTTCCATCCTCTCCCTCCTTCCCTAATAGAGTATCGGTTGTAAATTGTCCTACTCAAAAAAATAAAGAAATATCAAATCCGCGGGTGACATTTATTTGTAGCATCATCCCTCATGTGAAATGGTTGAATTGGTTGCATTTCTTGTGCATGCAATGTACAATTGAATTGACCCATCTTTCCTGTTCATTTTTTTTCTCCCTGGAACAGAAAACGTATCTGGTTCGTTGACTTTAAACATTTTAATAACCAAAAACGTGGTACTGTTGATCTAGTCGCAGCATCAGAGGCATTTTACAGTTGAATGGTTCAGATTTTGGGGCATCCCAGATTGATTTAGTAGTCCCATAATATATAGTAGTATTATAGTAACATGTCTCTGCAACTTTAATACATGGACGAGTTTTTCTCCATATGCAGATTCACGGTCAGAGGTAAGAGAAGGAAACCGCCTGTGGCAATTATAAACCTTGTTTGGAAAGTAATTTTCTAAAGAAAAAATTATTACGTTTTTTGTGAATATATTTTTTAATCACTTTTTTACCTCACATATTTCAAGTCGCTACAACATTTTTTTACAACAAATTTTTAAAAAAACTGCAATCCAATGGATTTCAGTTTCTATGAAATGACTGCAATTGGTTTTTGTATTTTCTTCTATAGTTTTTTTTGCTTTTATTTTTAAAGGGGTAAGAGGAACAAGTTTTACTTATGTCAAACATAGATGTGGCAAAAAGTCCCAATGAACACCCATACCCAAATTTTATTTGGGCAGGATGAGTATGCAAAATATGGAACTGGGTCTAATTGGGAATGTACCCACTAATATCCATTTAAAATATAGATCTAATTGGGATTTATGTGGAATTCCCATAGGTTTTTCTTTCTCCAAAGACTAAGAATATTGATTTTTCCATAAGCCAAAAACCACCCAACAATTTTGAGGCATTTGATTAGCAAAGTTTGCTGTGTCCAAATTGAACTTAAAGTAAACTTACTTTCAAATCTCATGAAATTTAGTTTTCGAAAGCTAAATCTAGAACGAAAAAAGATCAATTGACATAGGTTTTATTGCATGATTTTTTTTTTCACAATGCAAAGAATCAGAATTGATAAACCTCATCTTGACATGGATTATACAAATATGTATAAGATCGTCTCCTCCAGAAAATATAGTCAGCATTAAGTCATAAGAAGTAGAGATTTGGATAGTTACAAAATTGAATCATTAAACATTTCAGGAGAAAACATGATTTTGATGGTGGAAAGTTTTACAAAGTTAAATGAACTAACTAAATGATACTGAAAAAAAAAAGTAATATTGAGGCATTTGATTAGAGAAAAAGAGTTTAAAAATATAAAATGGGAATTTATTGAGTATTTAGGCGGTATTAAAATGGGTCTAACAAATTTTAGTTCCATCCATATTGGTCCCATGACTAATATCGAATTGCTTGGATATATCTCATATTTTGCAGTTTCAATGAAGTTCGGGTTCAAATCTTGCCCATTTGCCATTTATATAGTCAAACATAAACGGGATTTATAAAAAATTAAACATACTTTTTAATCTAAAAAAAAAGATTTGCACTCCCAACCAAATATATGCTATTCCTAATTCCTATTGGAGGTCCCGATCCCGGTCTAGCCCTACCCTAGATCAAAAAGTTGATATCTATTAACATCCTTTCGGTGTATGATACATTCATAATAATCGTGTTTATAAGGAAAAAATGCTTAAAGCTCCAAATATATGGGTTTTCTTTATTGAACGAAGAATTTTATACCAGGGCTTTGTTTGGCAAGCAAGTTTTTTAGCCAAATTTGTTTGTTTCAAGTTTTCTAATAACTTTAGTTATAGTAATCTCAAAAAATTTATCAAAATTTTTAAATTATACACTTTAAAATATTCAAAAAAAAATTCTACAACTTTTACAGTAAGTTACAATAAAATTTTAGATAAACAATCAAAAAATTCACTTACTAAATTGGCCCGGATTTAGAAGCTGGTGGAAGTATTCAAATTACAAGTTACGTGCTCGGTTGAGATTACCGAAAGAAAGCACGCTGTGTTCAACCACACTTACTGGAGATGATAATGCCTCAAAATTAATTTGCAAGCTGACCTTGGTAAATTTGATGCAAATTGTTTAATGAACAAACATAGAACCATTGAGGGAACAAAACTTATTCTTAGCCCAATTTTGCTCCAAAACTCACTTCCATCTAAAGTTTTGCATGGCGAAAAATTGTTACATTTTTCGTGAATATATTTTATAATCACCTTTTTGCCTCACATGTATCAATTCGCTATAGTAATTTTTCTACAAAAATATATAAAAAAAATGCAATCCAAACACAAAACTTATTTCATGTATACAACGATTTTTTTTTTCTATGTGATTTACTCCGTACATTACAGCTGCAATCGGAGTATGACACCACCATCATAAATTTCCTAAACGATTGGCAAGTCAAAACTAAACAAAAAATTTCCTAAATAGTTTCCTGGTAGTTTCTGATTCGAAGAAATTCTTTTTTTTTTTCTTCTTTTTCATCCAACGGAACTACGTACTAGCCAGACTGCATGGGGGGGGGGGGCAGTGATAATACCTAAAACGGTGCGCTTTTGAATATTTGGCTGTGGTCTACTCGGCAGTTGATTCAACTCGAGTGAGGACAAGGGAATTTTCTTTTATTCCTCTACCTTTTGATTCCGACTAAACCCGAATTTACAGCCAAGATGCTGCAGTGCTGCAAGACAAATACACCGATTTCTTTATGTTTTTATTTTGTAGTACAGTATTATACAAAAATCCACCGCCTTTTGATTTCGTCTCATCTCTCTCTCTCTCTCTCACCAACTAGTTTGTCCACATAACTATTGAATTAAATCCATGTCCCACTCCGTTCGAGAATCAATCATCGCTGATCCCCTCCTAAGCTAAACAAAGAAACCCAACTCTAATCAAATCAATTATAATCAATCCCATTCACCAAAAAGAAAAAAAAAAAACAATTCCCTCTTTTTTCTGCCACGTGGATTTCCACTGTATCAACCTGGCCCGCTCTCAGTCCACCCTCACGATCTTTTTGAAATTTTTTATTCTCACTCGCAGCAACGCTTAATCCGGTTCTATCTCAATTACGAGAAATTGCACTGTCAGTCCTTGACACTTGCAGAGCTTTCATCTGTCGCCGTTTACATCACACAATTTCACACTGGTCCTGCTGATTTTCACTTATATGTAGGCACTCCTTTTATATATACACTAAAAAAAAAAAACCTTCTCACCCCTCTCCGCACGCCTCCCACCTCCAACCAATTGCTAAATACACGGATTCGAATCTTGAACCTAGAGAGACGCCTCTAAAAGTACTGTTATAATCACTAAATAGACTTTAATAATTATCATATTAGTACCATGTGCGCTAATTAATCAAGAAGAAAAACAATCTTAAAAAAGATTCAGACTACTACTTACGATTATTGAATGAATACTTAGTATGAATTGGCAACAAATATTTTCAAACCGGATGTAATAATAAACACATTAAATATTTTGGCAACTTAGTATCCGGTGTGAGATTGTATATTAAAAAAAAAGTAGTTGAATTAAAGATTTGGGAAGAGATTTTGTATTATACACGGACGCATTACAATTGATTGTGTGCCATGTTGAGTGCCATGAGGGACCTTAGAAGATTGCATTGTATATCTGAGACACTGCTGATGCAATTTCCCAAAAACTATTAAATTTTATTTTCCGACAAAAGTGTAACATCGTCGATCGTGGTTTCTTTTTTATCAACTTCTGCTCTGAACCCGCTCGCAGATCTCTCTTTTTTCTCGCTCTATCAGCAGTCTGCAGCAGAGACAAAGTTCAAAGCTTTCCCCCTCCAAAACCCCAATAAGTAAGGAAAAAAGAAATTATAGCTTCAATTCAATCTTGAACTGGCAATGGTTTCAGTTCTGAGCTAAGGATTTTTCGTTCTAGATAGGGTTGTGTTTGGGGAGGGAGGGAGCTCAGGTGGTAATAAATTCCAAATAACGAAGAGGAAAGAGCACCTGAAGTCCTGAACATGGGTATTTGCACTTCCAAACCCTCCCCGGAACCCAATCTTCATCAAGATTCCAAGCAAAACCCTATTCCAACCAAGGATAAAAATAACCCAGCCCAGGTCAAGGATAATGGTGGAAACTCCAGCAATCAGCAAGAAAGCAAGAAATCAGATGCGGAATCCGCTAAAAAATCTCCGCTTTTCCCCTTTTACAGCCCTAGTCCAGCGCATTATTTGTTCTCCAAGAAGTCTCCGGCGAGATCTTCCGCGAATTCCACGCCCAGGAGGTTTTTTAAGCGACCGTTCCCGCCTCCGTCTCCGGCGAAGCACATTAAGGCGGTGTTAGCTAAGAGGCACGGGTCTGTGAAGCCGAACGAGGCGTCGATACCGGAGGGGAATGAATCCGATACGGTGGCGGCTCTGGATAAAAGCTTTGGATTTTCTAAGCATTTTGGAAATAAGTATGAGCTGGGAGAAGAAGTGGGAAGAGGGCATTTTGGGTATACTTGTAAAGCTAAGTTCAAGAAAGGGGAGCTTAAGGGGCAAGAAGTTGCCGTTAAGGTCATCCCAAAAGTCAAGGTTTGGCATTTTTCAGAGTTTTAATTCTACTTTGCTGACACTTCAGCATTTTTTTTGTAGCTATTTTCTGAAAGTTCCTATTTTCTCTTTTGGTGTGATCTATGTGAGTTGAGTAGTGGTAATCCGCATTGATTTATTGATTGATCGTTATTGAAGTTTCAGAGATCAGATCTGTGAAAAGGAAATTAGAGGAAGCAGTAAAAGATCATGTTTGGGAGTGGAATTTGCCCTTTCTATAGATGTTTTTGTCCAGTTGTGATGTTTAAGTAGTATACTGGGTTTTAGCTGGAAAGATGGTAGCGTTGATTTTTCTATTCTTCTAGCTTTAGTCTATGGGAGGTTTTACACGTTTGACCTTATTTTCCATGTTTTTCTCCTAGTACATGTGATTTTCAATAAGCATATAGGAAGATTTTTTGTCCTCTCTCTGCTATTCCTTTTTCATGAATAGTAATATTGGAGCAGAGAGTTTCCATGATCATGTTTGTATCACCGATGCTTGCACTAATCTTCTGGCTGGCCTTTAACATTAAATTGGACTTCAGATAGATTCCATGGATGGCTGCTTGTTGGTTATTGTGCGTTAAGAAGACTTGAGATTCCATATATTACACAAGGAATTAGTAGTCTTATATGATGTCAGGATAATTAGCTTCTGTAGTTATTAGTACTTGTTTTGGGAGGACGCTCCCGCTATGTGGATGAATTCTAATGCTCTTCCACATTGTGCATTTTTCATTGTTCATGTGTCTGCGATCTGATACTTATCCCTAAAAGAAATGTTCTTTTCAATCTGATGGGACATATGGATAGTCTTTTTTTGTTGCTCTATTTTTCCAGTATGTTGCTTTTCATTAGATTTCTATATTTTATTGCTCTAGGACCATGTATTATGCTTTTGAATGTGTTTGTTTTCATGCATTTCCTGTGAAGTTTGGTTATTGAAATTTCTTTTACAGCAAGTATTTCTTTTCTTTCTCTTGAACCAGATGACCACTGCCATAGCCATTGAAGATGTAAGAAGGGAGGTAAAGATATTGAGAGCCTTAACAGGACATAGCAATCTCGTACAATTTTATGATGCATATGAAGACCATGACAACGTCTTCATTGTAATGGAGTAAGATCTGATAACTTGATTTGAGGCCCATCGTATTTCTTTACCTATGTGTCTGTGTATGTATTACTCAGAGTTTCTTTGCCTATGTATCTGTGTATGTATCAACTAAGAGACTTTTGGATCAAATTGCTTTAGCAGTAAATTTACAGTTTTGCACATGTTATGACTTATGTGGCTTCATCATGTTTTGTTTCTTGCCTGTTGTCGTTTTAATACACAGAGACATGTGCATTCATTCCATTGTATCTGAACGTTTTGACAATTCTAAAATTAGTTATCATGCTTTTTGAAGGCTTTGTGAAGGAGGGGAGCTTTTGGATAGAATACTTTCGAGGTAATTCACTTGTTTTAGTGTAATTAAATACCTGGTGAACTTTAGTGCCGTTGAGTTTCTGATGGTGTTTAGGAAAGATATTGTAGAATGGAACTCTGTGATAAAAGGAGCTCTTTTGTTCTGCAGGGGTGGGAAATATGCAGAAGATGATGCAAAGGCTGTGATGGTACAGATTCTAAATGTTGTTGCTTTTTGTCATCTGCAGGGTGTGGTGCACCGGGATCTTAAACCTGAGGTGGGAGATCTTTTGATTTTAAACTGCTTATACTTTTAATTCTCTCTTGAATCACAACATTTTGTTTCTTTCTGCCACTCTCCCTGCCTATTAGCTTGATAGTCCCCCTTCCCAAGAAGACTAAACTGGTTGTGAACTTTTGTAACTGAATTTTTTGTTCATCAACGTACACTTTTACAGAAGTGAAATGTCAAGATGACATGTTAGTTCTCGGGGATACAATATATTCATGCTTGTCAAAGAAGATATGCCACTTCATGTTTATTTTCCTACCTGCCCTATGTTGTTGCTGTGCTACATTCTTGTCTAACTGTGGCTTATTGCTGGAGCAGAACTTCTTGTTCACTTCTAAGGATGAGAATTCACAACTTAAAGCTATTGATTTTGGATTATCAGATTTCGTCAAGCCAGGTTTTTTCTCTGTCCCTAGTCTTCTTAATGGTTAATATCTGTATCCTCCTTTTGGTAGTTCTGGAAAATTAACTATCCAACTGAATGAAATAATTGCTTCTCAGATGAAAGGCTTAATGACATTGTTGGTAGTGCATACTATGTTGCTCCTGAAGTTCTGCACAGATCATATAGCACAGAGGCTGATGTGTGGAGTATTGGAGTTATAGCATATATTCTTCTGTGTGGCAGCCGTCCTTTTTGGGCTCGAACTGAGTCAGGGATCTTTAGGACAGTTCTAAAGGCTGATCCAAGTTTTGAAGAACAACCTTGGCCTGCTCTGTCTTCGGAAGCAAAAGACTTTGTTAAACGTTTGTTAAATAAGGATCCCCGTAAAAGAATGACTGCAGCACAAGCCTTAAGTGAGCTTCCTATTATGTGTCGAAGATAAAATGTCACTTTTTTAAATCTTCTTTTCATGTTTAAAGTCTTCTTGAAATTTTTGGCTTCAGGTCATCCATGGATTAAACATGGTAATAATGTAAAGGTACCGCTGGACATTTTAATCTTCAAACTCATGAAGGCTTACATGCGGTCTTCTGCACTTCGTAAAGCTGCCTTGCGGGTATGTATTTGCAAATTGTTTATCTCATATTCTAATTTCCTAAAAATGTTGGTATTTCCCTTTTTTTTTGGGCATATCTTTTCCTGTTCTTTGAGGAAAAATAAACTGGGTTGAGTCCTCCTAAACTGTGTATCTTTTGTTTGATGCCACACCTGTATCAATGATAGTTAGGTTGCTGTTTGACTTGTGGCCCTTTCATTTGTAAAGAGCAATTGCCTTTGGTATCCCTAGTTTATTGGTGTTGTTTACCTCACCCTTCATTTCAAAACAAGTGTTACTTTGATGCATCGATTATTGAAATGAAAGCTCCATTATGGCAGCTAGTAGGTGTTTGGGAATGTCACTTGAAAAGCTCTCCTGGTCTCGTTCTTCTTTTGGTTCCTTGACTTTTGTGCTCTAACTTTGGCAGGCTTTATCTAAGACATTAACCGTAGATGAGCTATATTATTTGAAAGAGCAATTTGCACTGCTGGAGCCAAGCAAGAATGGCACCATAAGCTTGGAAAATATTAAAGCGGTTAGTTTATCTGCAAAATGTTTTGTTTCTGTTTTCTTACTGAATTTTAGGATTTTATAACTTCTCTTAATCTTGACTCTATATTCGTATCGTGCCAGGTCTTGATGAAAAATGCAACCGAAGCTATGAAGGAGTCTCGTATCCATGATTTTCTGGGTTCAGTACGTAAAATTACTGAAACGATGGAATTCCTTGTTGTATGAAGTTTCTTCTGCTTAACTAATTTGCATTCTATCCTTCAGCTTAATGCACTGCAGTACAGAAGGATGGATTTTGAGGAGTTCTGTGCAGCTGTATTAAGCGTCCATCAGCTTGAGGCACTTGATAGATGGGAGCAGCATGCTCGCTGTGCGTACGAACTTTTTGAGAAGGATGGAAACAGGGCCATTATGATTGAGGAATTGGCTTCGGTAATTACACTTTTCCATTGTTCGATTTGAATTGACATTTCATCGGATTGCTTCTCGCGATCCGAAAGTGTGTTTTCTCAGAGCGGATAAATTTTGGTAGCATTACAAACGCTGCAGTGTAATGATTTCAAATCCTTGTTCCAGGAACTTGGCCTCAGCCCTTCTGTGCCCGTTCATGCTGTTCTCCATGATTGGATCAGGCACACTGATGGAAAGCTCAGTTTTCTGGGATTTGTAAAATTGTTGCATGGTGTGTCTAGCCGCTCTCTTCCTAAAGTTCAATGACAGTCGTTGGAGGTGCCCTCGTGCTCCTAATGGCTAATGACTGCACATTTGGGGATCTTTTGGCAAATCAAGGAGCTCATAATTGGTGATTGAGATCATTTTGCACACCATCATTTGCTGCAACAAAGATTGGACTTTGGGATTGGTATTTAGGTCGTGGCAGAGGCTTGGTCGTGTCCATTATATTTTTTTAGAGGATCAGAACTGTGATTACTGATTACCGTGCGGTGAACATGTGATTAGGTTTGCCACTGTAAAGCTGTAGTTAATTTCATACTCAACGTTTTAGATTAGAATATTTTTCAGTTGGTTCTGGACGCAACCTCTTTTACTAACACATAGTTACGCCTTGACATGTTGGATTGCCCTGTATCTTCCCTTGCTCTGCATTTTTTTCTAATCAAGAATTTCTTTTGAACTTTTGCCGTTTACCTTCACCTTTCGTTTCTTAATACTAATAATAATACTCTCCATGGTGGTTTGTAATATCAAATTTGATGCACGTTACATATTCTTCTATTGAAAGCGAAACTTGATGTGAAATCGAACCCTCGAGTCTTCAGCTTCTTCCCGTCCTAGAGAATGCTTTTGGTTAACTTTCAACCCGCAAAGGAAGAAGATGCGAGGTGGAAATTGTGTCCATAGAGAGTATTTTATCATAGAATTTCTATGATGGAAGCTCTTTCTCCGGCATCCTATATATATCATATTATAGGATGACCAAAACACCTACCACTCGGGGCCTCCCCGGGGAGAGGGTGGCTCCTACTTTTGGGGATTAGACTCGTAACCCAGTATGACCGGATATTAGATTATTTGGAATAATTTTAAAAATACCATATTATATATGATGTATATGAGATAAAAAAGTGATTAAAAAAATATGTTGATGATCTAAGTAAATAAAAATTTGCAAATAAATTAAAACCAAAAAGTGGCTTCATGACCAACCAAATGAGCACCTATGTAAATATATCTTGGTTGAGGATTACTAGTGTGTTTGGGTAGAAAATTATTTGAAATAATTATTATAATATTTTTTCTTATGTGATATATGTGAAATAAAAAAATGATTGAAAAAATAAGAGAGTTATTAAAAAATATATTTACAATGCAAACAAATGATATTTAGAAAAAATTTTCTATCCAAAGATGTGAGATTATTTGTTTTTTGAGCTTCTCTCCATCTCCTGCACGACTTTACCCTTTTTTTTTTTTAGTTACAAAGGAGAGCTAAGCAGCTCAATGCATAGATACTAAACGAGGGGCGGTAACCCTCGTGTTATTCAAATTCATCCATCTCCTAACTATGTCGGGTAGACTCCGTAAACAATACATCCTTGGCTCCTTGTTGAGGCTGTCTTTAGTTAAGCAATCCGCACTGTTTGTTTCCTTCTTTCTCGTCAAATGTGCGATATCCTTACCTCCCATTCCTTGCGTCTCCACCATTCAATTTGTTTCAGCAGATTGGAGTGAGGGCCGAATTCAGGTGGTTTCTTCACTTGACCATTTTGCATTTGCCCGCTGTGTTCCTTTTCTTTTTAATTCTTTCAGTAGGCTCGAGCGTTGAGCAATTCGGTCTATACATGTTTTAGTAAGGTGCTAGAATATCTTTACTTTTGAGGAAATTGGGACAAGAATAACAACCCCTTGATTGTGTTAATTTCTTTTTCGCCTCTAACCAACTGGTGACATTTATCCAAATCAAAAAATAGAAAAGTTTGTGACCCAGAATTTGAAGATATTCACGTGCACAAATGGATATAGCGAGTTGATTGATTGAACAAATTGCCGTAGAAGAATACCACTGTAGTATATATATATATGTGTGCGCGTGAGAGAGATCTCCCTCCGTCTCATAAAATTCATTATCTGTTACTCGAAAGAATGTGTAATTTATGTATAATAATATTAATAAAAAAGATTATTTTTACTTCTTTTTATATCCTAAGGGCAGCTCCAATGGGGGTGTAATGGGGAGCCATTACACCGCTCCATGACACGGCTCCCCATTGGAGCCGTGTCATGGAGATTACACGCATCACATGTATGATGCGTATAATCCATTGAATGTGGGTCCTATGGCAACGGTAAAATTCCAGCACAAAGCACATTTAACATTTTCAACGGTTATATCCAACGGCACTATTTTTAGAATTCTATATAAACACACAACACTTTTTGCTAAAACATATCCCAATATTCTACTCTATTATTTCTTTTATTCTCTCACACACTTCTACTCTCTCACTCATTTAATTCATTTTTTGTGATTATGGATGAAAATTGGAGTAGTTTTACAAATATGTTAAATGCTCCAAATATAGAAAATTCAGCATCCTCACAAAATCAAAACCCCCAAAATATTATGTTATGGAGTTCAACTAATTACATTCCGAATTATTAATTAAGTATGGATTATTATGATATCTTCGCATTTGAAGTATCAAATATTTGTTTAATTTCCTACATAATTATTTTTAAAAAATAACAATATATTATTTTTGAAACATAGAAAAAGATATATTATTCAAACTTAAAAATTAATAATATCATTTTTAGAAAATAAAAAAATTCAAAATGTACAAAATTTAACGAAAGTTAGTACTTTATTTTTTAAAAATAACAAAATTACTTTTAAAAATTACTTTATTTATTTATGGGATATGAGTTATGCATTATTAAAATAAATATTTGATTAATTGTGGACCCATGCTATTACACCTTGTGGAGTGTAATCCATTGTGAGTGAAAGTGTAATAAAAGAGGAGAAAGTGGAATGCTGACGTGGCATGTGGATTACACTCCACAAAGTGTAATAGCATTGTGGATGCTCGGTGAAAGGCCATCTTTTATTCAATGTATTGATAATTGTGGAGAATAAGTGATGGATTACATGAAAAGTAAAGATTAAATTTCATTAAAAAGTGGAGTGACTTCACTAAGATAAAAATTAGTTTGAAACAAAAAAAAAAAAAGGCAAATTTTTCGAGACGAAGGAATATAATTTGTGAACGGTCGCTGGGCGCAATATCGACCTTTGACTTTGAGGAGCATCAAACGTGGGACTGTGATTCCTGTCCATCAGGATGACGCCTTGTGTGTACTAAATTGGAACACGCAGCCGCCTTTTGTCCATGCAAACCCCATCCCACACCAAACGTGTTGTGGGGCATTTACAAATGGGTCCTCCTGTGTCTGAACTCTGAATGGCTACTTGCGAGTAATTGAGTATAAATAGATTTAAGTAGCGTGTCAAGTGGTAGTATTGTGATGAAAAAAATTAGCAAAAAGACTATTTTGTCCTTAATTGGTGGGAAATGCAACTTGTGAGGCTTGTGATCCAAGTATAGCTTCCAAAAACAGTAATGCACGACAAGTAAAGGGTACAGAAATGAGAGAGAGGGGGAGGGAAGATATTTATATTTGAGACAAAGACATTTCAGCCCGAAAAGTGAAATGAAAACGATTGAACGATCATACGAATTTATAATTATGTAATTACATTAAAAATAAGAATTAATCTTGTATATGCTGACAATTTTATACATTATTATGATTAGATATATGATACACAAGTAAAATATGAATTTGAAATTTAAATTCAAATAAATTGTCACGATCTAATGATAATTTATATGCATTGTCAGTATATAAAAAAATTAATTCTAAAAATAAACAGAAACTAAATTAGGACCAGCACTACTAAAACGTCACCGTCACACGAAAGCAGCCCCAAAAATTATGAGTCTGCGCTCACTTTTATAGCAGAAAAGGGCGACAGCTGCTCCTATCATTTGCAACTTGAAATCCTGTACGCATGCATGTCGACGCAAGTAAACAGGACAGGAGGTGAAGACTTGTTGAAAGAGCGGGAGAGTAATGTTGTAATGATTAATCGATGGAAGACAGTAGTAGTAGGGACGCGCTCTTAATTTCATTTCATTCAGAAAAGACTAGAGTTTGAGGGACGGAGGTCGATCTCTTGGGTCCAAGCGGATCGGTCTTGAATGTGCAATTGCCAATAGGTTTGAGCCAGCACGTCTGGGTCCATAATCTCTTCCCCTTCTCCGATACCAATCTGCTGCTGCTGCTGCTCTTGTTGTTCCCCAACCCCCTTTGATCTTTGTTGTGAAGTTGATGACGTTGCTGCCCTGCCAATCCATTCGATGAATTTAAGTTTTCAAGCCAGCCTTAATTATAGCATCTTCCTCATACCCGAGTTTATGACCAGTATAGTAATACTGCTACCTAATTTACTGTTAAAGCAGGGCATAGTTTGAGGTATAGCATGTTTCTTCATGCCAAAATCAGGATTTCATTGTAGGTGGTTCCCAGTGAGGCAACATATTCTTGAATCCCAACATATTAATGAATCCCAACTTAATATCTCTACAGAATGTTGAGAATGACGAACCAAAAAAGAGCTTGGCAGGAAAAATCAAGAATCGAGATTCAGAAATTTCAGCAAAGAAACGAATATGAACATGGTAATAAATTACGCAAGCGTAGCATAACTCTCCACACATGCATATGCACGATAGAACTGGCTAGCAAATTAACCAGGAGATAAATAAAAACAGACAAACCGAGGTACGCCGATATAGCCGTCTATGATGACATGTGCCACGTGTACACCCTGAGGTTGAAACTCTCTAGCCAGACACTGCGATAAGGCTCTCAATGCAAACTTCCCGCAACCTGACACAGAAGTAGAAGTGAAAAAGGGAGGAGAAAACAGTGTCAGAGAATCATCTGTTGTCATACTATACTGTGCGATTGCGGGCTGATGGAATACATAGCGCGTTCTTGCAGTTACCATATAGTACTGGTAAAACCCTACTTAATTAGGATCAGTACATACATAATTCCGAGTAACCGGCTATTCCATTAAGGGAAGCAAAACAGCCCGTAAAGAGAATCGTCCCTCGGCCTCTATCCACCATGCCCGGCAGTACCTGAGGTTTCATCGATCCCAGGGGCGGAAAAAAAAATGAACAATTTATCCAGGTAAATCAGAGCCGTTACTAGTTACTAGTTAACTGCTAGCTGTTTAGAGTGGAGAAGAAGTAATGGACAGGGACCTGTTGGGCACAGTGGAAGGCGCCGACGGAGGAAACGGCGATGGACTTCTCAAAATGTTGGACTCTCATGTCGGCGAAGTTAGTGGGAGGCCAAGACATGGGATGGTACGCATTGTACACCAACACCTCCACGAAACCTAAAGACAGAATGAAAGAAATTCTGTGAGGGAAAAGTTCCCTTTCTATTGCTTCCGTGCCTTCCATATATACAGGTACCGAGACCAGAGTCCTATTACATCCCAATTGAAAAACAGAGTTCTATCACACCTCAATGACAGAGGTCTAACATACCTCAACTACTCCTAAAGATATTACCGAGGAAAACGGGTACAGAGAGTAACCAAAGG